TCAAAGTCATTGTGGTCTGCCTTAATCTGTTCAATATTCAGGATTGTTGGTATGGCTGGTATCGGACAAGGCCTAGTATTGGTATTGCTCTGTGGCTTATGTACATTCTTGACGACAATATCTTTGAGTGCTATTGCAACAAATGGTGCAATGAAGGTAATTCTTTTTTTTACTATTACATCACCTGAATTTACTTTGAATAAATCTGTGAAATGATAGTTAAAGATGTCCCTCCTACTGCTGGGTCTCTGGTTCAGTATTGGCACCCCTTGTTAATCTTCTATCTCCTATTTGATTGAACAATAGATAGGATATCAAGATAAATAATAAATTTTGTGTTACTTCCAGGGTGGAGGACCATATTACCTCATTGGTCGCGCTCTGGGTCCAGAAGTTGGGATTAGCATAGGTTTATGCTTCTTCCTTGGCAATGCAGTTGCTGGAGCTCTGTAAGTGTAAATCCTTGATCCTTTCAAGGAATCTACCTTGGCAAAAGTCTTAAGCTTGACACTCATTGCTTAGAAGTTGCTGATGCTTCAGTTTAGTTTCACATGGTCGCCAAGTGGTTCTAATAACTACTTTCTCTGCTTTCGTCGTTATTATTGTAGGTATGTTTTAGGTGCCGTGGAGACTTTTCTAAAAGCATTCCCTGCTGCTGGAATTTTTAGAGGTATTAAACTAATCTGGAACTTGTAAGAACTATAACCTGTGGACTAGCAAAGGGCTTTAAGGACTTTATAATTTGTTAGTTTTGTTATATCCACCATTATATTATCTAGACTACAACTTTAGAGGACTAGTCTTGAGTCAAGACTCTTGACACCTTTGAATTGTTTCATCAGTTTATTGGAACTGGCAAATCATTTATGCAATCCAGGATTTTGCAAGAAACAAAAGACTGTTATTTACCAAATTCTGAGTTTATATTAACAAAAGTTTACTTGTTTTTGCTGAGAATCTATAGACTTCAAGTCGCATTCAGAGCTGTATTTAATATCTAACTGCGGAAACTGTCACAAATGTTAATGGAACAGCAACTGGAGCAATACAAAGCCCGAACGAACATGACTTGCAGGTTTATGGAATTGTTGTGACGATCCTTCTTTGCTTCATTGTGTTTGGCGGTGTGAAGATGATCAATCGGGTTGCACCTGCTTTCCTTGTACCCGTTTTACTCTCTATCTTCTGCATATTCATCGGGATATTTTTGGCAAAGACAGATGACCCTGACAGTAAGTCGTTTCTTTTGATTGTTAGAAATAGGTGTGGTGTTTTATTCCCCGAATTGTTAACCTTCCTTTTGTCCCCTTGTTATTATTTGCACAGCTGGAATTACGGGCTTGCGTTTAAAAAGTTTTAAAGATAACTGGGGTTCTGCTTATCAGATGACAAATGATGCGGGAATTCCTGATCCAACTGGAGGCACGTACTGGAGTTTCAAGTAAGTAACTTTCAGATATTATGTTGCATATGATAGAAAAACTCTAGTTGTGGTTTTATGTTAGAAATAATTTTCTGATACAGTTGTTACTCTGAAATTTATTTACCCTCTTGTTGGCTGTTTTCAGTGAGCTGGTGGGTCTATTTTTCCCTGCTGTAACAGGAATTATGGCTGGTTCAAATCGATCGGCTTCCCTGAAAGACACACAAAGATCAATTCCTGTTGGAACGTTGGCTGCCACTCTGACCACAACCGCGCTATATTTGATCTCTGTGCTGTTTTTTGGAGCTGTTGCGACCCGTAATAAACTTTTGACTGATAGGTAACGATGTTATCCCTTTTGTGTGGATTATTGTTGTGTTTCACTGCTGTTCTGTTGTGTTTTGTTAGCCAGCAGTTTCCTGGAGGAAATGCAAAAACACACTTGTCACTTGCACATTTGTGTTTAGCATGGTTAAACCTGAAAGAAACTAAAATGTCTTCATGTTCTGTATATACGACACACAAAAGTTGTGTTTTTTTCTACTTAATATGTCAGAATAGATTTATCATGTCTGGTCACAGAGACGTGTTCTTTTAAGAACTTCGACTCCAAGCTTACATCATGAACTTTTTTTAATTCAGTGAATAATCTTCCTCTATTGCAGGCTACTTACTGCTACAATTGCTTGGCCTTTCCCTACCATTGTTCATGTTGGAATCATCCTTTCAACCTTAGGGGCTGCTCTCCAGAGTTTGACAGGGGCCCCACGGTTACTTGCAGCTATAGCAAATGATGACATTCTCCCCGTCCTGAATTATTTTAAAGTTGCAGATACTAGTGAACCTCACGTAGCTACACTTTTCACAGCATTTATCTGCATAGGATGTGTTGTTATTGGAAACCTGGATCTTATCACACCAACTGTGACTATGTTTTATCTTTTATGCTATTCGGGAGTAAACTTGTCTTGTTTTCTGCTCGATCTTCTTGATGCTCCAAGTTGGCGTCCACGGTGGAAATATCATCATTGGAGCCTTTCCTTTGTTGGAGCCTCACTCTGCATAGGTATGAATTTCAAATACTCACTGGATAAAATTTCTTTAGAACTGTCTTCCTAGGTAGTACATTCCTACCTGAAGCTTGAGATGTCTTATTGCAAAGACTCTTGTTGATTTTTCAAATTTTCTCTACTGTAACAGTGATCATGTTCTTGATTTCTTGGTGGTTCACTGTGGTTGCCATTGCACTTGCAAGTCTTATATACAAATATGTTGGCCTAAAAGGAAAGGCCGGGGACTGGGGGGATGGTTTCAAGAGTGCATATTTTCAGTTGGCCCTTCGTAGTCTCAGGTCACTCGGAGGTAAGCTGCACAAACTATTTCTCTAAGATGCATTATGCCGAACCTGCTGTATTTATTTGATTCAGTAATAGATGATCAATGTATGTAAAACTAACCTCAGGTACTGTCTTTTCTCCTAATTGTAGCGAATCAAGTGCACCCCAAGAACTGGTATCCAATTCCCCTTGTTTTCTGCAGACCATGGGGACAGCTCCCGGAAAATGTTCCGTGCCACCCTAAGCTGGCTGATTTTGCCAACTGTATGAAGAAAAAAGGTCGTGGAATGTCGATCTTTTTCTCGATATTAGATGGTGATTACTATGAATGTGCTGAAGAAGCAAAGGAAGCCTGCAAACAACTAGCGACCTACATTGAGTATAAGCGTTGTGAAGGTGTAGCTGAAATCGTTGTAGCCCCAAACATGACTGAAGGGTTCCGTGGTATCGTCCAGACAATGGGACTTGGAAATCTCAAACCTAACATCGTGGTAATGCGGTACCCTGAGATCTGGCGTCGAGAAAATCTAACAGAGATTCCATCCACATTTGTTGGGATAATCAACGACTGCATAACAGCAAACAAAGCTGTTGTCATCATCAAAGGGTTAGACGAATGGCCAAACGAGTACCAAAGGCAGTATGGAACAATCGACTTGTACTGGATTGTGAGAGATGGTGGTCTCATGCTTCTTCTCTCACAGCTTCTGCTCACAAAAGAAAGCTTTGAAAGCTGTAAAATCCAACTCTTCTGCATAGCTGAAGAGGATTCAGACGCGGAAGCACTCAAAGCAGATGTGAAGAAATTCCTCTACGATCTCAGGATGCAAGCTGAAGTAATTGTCGTCACGATGAAATCATGGGACATAAGGTCGGAAGGAAACAGCCAAGAAGATTCATTGGAAGCTTTTGATGCAGCACAGAGACGAATCTCAGATTACTTGGGAGAGATCAAGAGACAGGGCTCGAATCCGTTATTGGCAAATGGGAAACCGATGGTGGTGAATGAGCAACAAGTGGAGAAGTTTCTATACACAATGCTGAAACTGAACTCAACCATACTTAGTTACTCGAGGATGGCTGCGGTGGTTCTGGTTAGTCTCCCACCACCTCCATTGAACCACCCGGCCTATTTCTACATGGAATATATGGATTTGCTGGTGGAGAATGTGCCAAGGATGTTGATCGTAAGAGGATATCACAGAGACCTTGTTACTTTGTTTACATAGTTCAATCTCATTTTATACCCCACCCAAGAACATCAAAAAGCATGAACTTCAAGGTCAGTTTGTTTCTACCAGTTTCTAATCATTTTCTTGTAAGTACAGTGAATTCCATTTTGTTGAAAGGAATTGAATGTTCCTGCGAAGCTATATAGTTTTGTTTATTTCTTTTCCTGCGAAGCTATATAGTTTTGTTTATTTCTTTTCATTTTGTTTTTGTTTTTGTTTTTGCAGATAGAACATTTCTGAGTATTTTGAGACATTCAATACATTTCCCTCTCATGGATATGGATATCTCCTGACTTTTTGAAGATTTTAGATAATTAGCTTCACATAAACCTATGGTTACACCCATAAAATTTTTCATATATATATGGTCACCACCGCTCACTAATTTATTTATGTTTTTATAAAAAAACTTCAAATTCGCATGGATTAGATGAAACGACTAAAGGATTTGTTAACAACATTAAAGATTGAAGAAAGGCAAATATAATTGCAGTGTAGATTCAATTTGGTCGGTTTTCTTTTCAAAGCCTCCTTCTTAAACCACAAGATTCTCTATTTTCTGCCGACTGTTGTCTGAAAACAAACGGTTTTAAAGGCCAAGGAAAGCTTTGGAAAAACAACCATAGTCTGTTGTAAAATGGCTTCATCTTTGTCTTCAATTTGATTTACCTCATCGCCATCGTCCAAGATTTAAGGTGAAGCCATTTTAGTTTGAAATAACGTTTTAGGTAGTCTTATTTACTTACTTCACCACCATCGTCCAAGAGATACACTTGCCAAAATCTTGTGCATAATATTACAATACATAGCAAGTAATAAGAGTTTGTGTGTTCAATATATACTACAATCACAAACAAAAACACTTCAAAATATAAAGCCAACAAACCAGTTTGCTTGGTGTTGAGAAAAGCCAACACTTAAAATTTTATTTAAAAAAAAAAACTGAGGTTGTTGTTAAAGCTCTAGCAATAAAAAGATCCTTAGAAGAAATAGATAAAACATAACAAATTATAGAGAGGCAATACTTTCGACGTGTTGGGGTGAGATTAAGACGTAACACTGCCCTCCGATTCCGTATCGTCGCCTAAACTCTTCATCATCAGCAATTCCTAAGAGCCTAACTCTTCTCATGTCTTTTCTTTCTACATTGTAGTAATAAATGTAAAATGGTTCAACATCATACGACAGGAGTGTTGGTGCAAAAATGATTTCACCAAGGCTGTTGGTACCCGGGGAAGTGATATGCCTAGCCAGCCCCAAAGAAAAGGGAAGCTCAAACGTCTGCTTGGACCAATCGTGTGTCTTGACATCTTCTAGTATCCATAAATCAAAAGTAGAGAAATCAGAATAAGGATGTCTTGCAATGGAAGCTAACTTGCCTTTGTATTCTATCAATATTGAATCACCCTCCCACCAAACAACAGGCCTAGGCGCTTTGATGCAACTTAGCCTCTCAGATCTTACATCAAAACACACAATCACCGGATTTGTAGTTCGGGTTGGGGTCCAAGCAGCATAATACACGAAACCATTGATGCATATTGATTTTGTAACAGCCATATAAGGCGGGGAGGCAAATCTATAGCTTGTCCATGATGAAGAAGGTTCTAGTCCTCCTCCTCCTCCTCCAAGTCTTATGACCTCGTGCATTAGATGATCAGGAGGCTGATTAGGATAAGACACATTGGTCAACGTTTTGAATTGATCTCCAACAGGATCGTATCCCCAGGATGTGCATGGTCCGGTGGATGGTAGGCGAGTGAATTTGTTGGTGCTGGGGTTACAGACAAGGAACGGACCACTCATTACACACCCGATTAAGCCATGGACAGAACGACAGACCGCGCCGCGAGACAAGATCACAGAAGGTATTGTCATACGGAGAGTGGTCGCCAAAGAAGAAGATCTCTCACATTCGTAGGAAGATGAGAAGATGAACATACGCGCGTCATCGATCTTGCCTCGTGAACCGCAGTCGAAACTGATCGTAAACCGCGATCCCATAGTGGAGGACATAGCGAAGTAAGAATTGACAAACCTTTGGCTTCTGATGGTGGAAGACCACATCTTTGACACGCATAGGAATTTCATAAGAGACTTGGCAGGCAATCTAGTGAGTATAGCTTCCTCTAGGTCAAGAGGGATGTGATCTACCTCACTCTTCTCGCGTTTCATGGCTGGCGCCTACCAAAGGTATTTCTGAGCAGAGGAGAGAAATGTCGATCAAGGAAGCAAACCTTTTAAGAGAGACAACAACAACAACAAAACTAGGTTTTAAATCCCCGCCGTTTGCTTTGAGCTTTCAATTCCCTTTTTTTTCTTTTCCTTTTATTTTCCACTATAAATAATAAATAAATAGGGAAGGGATCTCGTCGTTATATTCCACGATTTCGAGAGCGAGGTTAATTTGATTAATGGGTATTGTGGCGTCCAAGGGAGATAATAATACTCCATTGTTGAGTCTTTGTAAGGAGAGGAAAGAACTGATCAAAGCAGCAAGAGATGCTAGGTATCACTTAGCTAGATCTCATCTTCTTTACTTCAAATCTCTTTTAGATTTCACCAAAGCTCTTAATCACTTTGTGCACAAGGATTTGGTTGTGATTCCATATTCTGATGATGATGATGATTCCTCAAGTAGCGATCTGGTTTGTTCTGGATCATGTTCAGACACGGAGTCGGATTCAGATTCTGTTTTCGTATGTGATCAGTCTCAACCAGTTTCTGTGAGCAACAGTAATGATGATCAGAATCAGGGGCAAAACGTGTTTGGTGACGGAACTTGTTGTTCAAGTAACAATGGACAAGAGGGTATGGAGAAATCAAACGAAGGTTTAGGGTCTGAGGGGGAAAAGTTGGTGAGTGATCCAGCTGAAGATGAGAAGGAAGGTTTGCAAAACGTTTCTTCTGTTGAACAGAACCCTTACCTAGATCATGATATATTTGGTTTGTACGGTCCCAAAGTACAGGATTGGGATTTCATCCAACCGGTTCGAAGAGATGATGAGGTTGAGAGCGATGGGTTTAGAGAAATTAGAGAGAGAGAAGGGATTCCTGATTTGGAACCTGACAGTGATCATGATAGTCTTATAAGGAAGAATCAAAAGAAGAATAAGAAGAAGAAGAAGAATGCTAAAGAAAGCTCTTATGTTGCTTGTGGAATTGATAAGATAGATGTTGATGAAGTAACTACTTGTAATGGTCAAGCTTCAGGTGAGGTTGATGATTCTAATGAAACTTGTGCGGGTGAGACAGTGAACACTCCAGAGAATGTTACTGAAAGAGTGGCAAGTTTAGATGAGGAAGTTTGTGATGAAGCGTATGAGTCTACTTCTTCTTCTTTTACGGAATCATCTTGCTCGGGATTGACTGATCTTAGGAATGTAGTAGAAAAGATCAATGGTATATGCGAGAAAGCTGTGAGTAATACTGAAGTTTCTGAGTTGCTTGAAGTAAGCAAAGTTGTCCATCATCAACCTTTAGGATCTCAAGTTAAGGGATTTGCTTCAAAGGTACTTGGTAGTTCGGGGAACTCGAATCGAGATTTGCTGTTAAGGCGCCGTTTTCGCTTAGATGATCTAGCTGTTTCACTCTCCATGACATTAGAGAAGCTTTATATGTGGGAAAAGAAGCTTCACGCAGAAGTTACAGTTGAAGAAAAGCTTAGGGTTTCTTATGACAAAGCGTACATGATTCTTCAGAATCTTGATAACAACGGAGCAGAATCGAGCGAGCTTTACAAGGCTGAAACTGTTGTTAAATTCCATTTATCCAAGATTAATGTTTCGGTCAGAGCAGTTGAATCGATTTCTATGAGAATTCATAAGATAAGAGACGAAGAGCTTTCGTGTCAGGTGACTGAGATCATCAACGGATTCAAAAAGATGTGGAGATTCTTGGCGAAATGTCACCACAAGCAGTTTCAAGTGATGGCTAGAAGCAATAGCTGTGTTCACATTGTTGAAAAGGGATCGAGCTCGAGGAAAGCAACACAGAAGGTCGAAGAACAGATTGGAAAGTACAGAGAATCTTTGAAAGGTTACATCGATGCACAAAGAGGTTTTGTTAAGCTCTTAAACGAGTGGCTTAACAGAAACATCATGGAGGATGATGAAACGGAGACCGAGGCCGAGGCTCCTGAGATATTTAAGATTTGCAGCGAGTGGTTGAGAGAGATTGAGAATGTTGATGAGGTTAAAGTGCTGAGTGCTGTTGAAGAAATGATATTGAGGTTTCGAGGGTTAGGGTTTAAGCAAGTAGAGGAAGAAAAACAGAGGACGAGAACAGAGAGATTGTCTAAGGAGTTGGAGAGGCAGACGAAAGAACTGGAGGAGATTTTGGGAAGAGCGGTTGTTTTTCCGGCAAATGACTCTGGTCTGGCGGCGAACATGACGCTTGGACCGGAGTTGTTGTCTCTGAGAGAGAGTGTGACGCAAGAAACAGAGAAGCATGAGAGAATGATAAGAGAGTTAAACGACGCCGTATCGATGAGTTTGCTAGAGTGTTTGGTTCCCATCTTTGAGGCTTTGGAGGAATTTTGTTTTGCTAATTATAAAGCATATAAGAACATTAGAATCGTTCCCACAGAAACATTATTATTATTGCTTTGTCAAACATAATTTCATTTGTGCTGCTGTCGAACCTACTCATCTCTTGGCTGTTTAAATTTCATTTTGGGCTTGGTTTATGGTTTAATATTGTTGTTTACGTTTTCACTTTTCTTTCAGTGATAAACTGTTTTACAATATCAGTCCAAAAATCATAGACTAGCAAAACTAATATGTGCTTGTGTTGTTTATGTACTGTTGAAGACTATTTATTTGGTCTTCTGTTTTTTTTTTCCAAAGTCTAGTCAGTGGCATAAACCTTTAAAAGTAATAGTACTAAAGATGTTGTTGTTGTTGTATTATCAATCAACTCTTGTCTGATAATACAAAATATCTTTAAAAACGCGAACAATATGCCACTAATGTAAGGGTGGGTACTAATATGTTTGATACAAAAATAGAGGTGGCGGAGAGAAGCAAACTTTGGAAGACAATCTTTAGCTTGTGTACGTCTCTCTCTCACCGACGCTTCTTTCCTTCTCCATGTCTTGATCGTCTTGGAGCTTCGTCTTCTTCTTCACTTTCACTCTCTTCGTTTCTTACACTGTTTCCAACCTCGAACTGCTCCATGTCATGTGATGCATCCTGATTTTGTTGATCCACCCCCACTCCTCTCTCATCGCTTCTCTCTGGTGTTTTCCGGTTGGTGGGGCCAGGACGTGCTGATGATGTTGCCGGTGGATAATACATCGGTCGGCCTCCTCGAGGACCGTTTCCCATATGTGGGCCACGTCCTCCGCCTCCCATCATACCATAACCGCCATGTGGAAACTGTTGCGGAGGCCTACCAGGAAACATCATTCCGGGTACTTGTCCTCTGAAATCACCACCGAACCTCGGTCCATACGGTCCAAAGGGTCGTGGACCCATACCAAATGGATCTGGCATACCGTTATAGCCACCAGGCCCATAGGGAAAAGCATCACCAGGGCCCATCACCCCGAGAGGGAAACCTCCTATCCCGGGCATAGGTCTGATTCCCCGTCCTAGAGGCATTTGAGGAGGCCACATCATTCCTCTTCCTCTTCCTCTGCCTTGAGGACCCCCCACCATGATCTCTTCTTCCTCCTCACTTTCATCTTCTTCCTCTTCCTCTTCTTCGTTATCTTCAAATGGCACAATGTCTGGATTCACCGCCCTGCTCTCTGGAGTTACACCCTTTGCTTTTTCCTCTTCTCGTTTCGCTTCTGCAGCTATGGAGATTGCCTTGGATTCATGGAAAAACGAAAATCAACAATCCACGATGAAGTAATAGAATGAAAACAAATCCTAGAAGGAACCTAAGTCATCACTGAAAGAGCATATGGATCTCAGTTCTTCAGTGTATTATATATTATACTCATAAGAACCATGGAGAACAAGGTAAAACAAGAAAGAGAGAGAGTGGGAGAGTATATACCATAAGCTCACTATCTGGTTCAAGATAAAGCAAAGAAGCCAGCTGTTCACCAATGGAAGGCTCTAACTCCTGACAGTCTCTGCTTATCTACGGTCATTGAACCAAAAGAGTAAGATGAAAGTGACTAGGTTACAGGCAAATACTTTACAAAAACTTAAAACACTACACAACGACCATTAGTTAAAAGTTAATCACTGTATCAGTAGTAACTTCTATTGTCTCGCAAAATATATGAGTAACCATGCAAGTTATATCAACACAAGTAGTCGTGCACGTTAGGTCTTTGCGAAGTATATTAGTAAACCCCAAACAGGAGACAAACTAGAGCAGCGTATTAAAAACATAGTGAGAAGTTCCACATACCTTCACAGGTAAGTTTTCGTTGTAAGGATTCCTCAAATTCCGAGTTTTGTGGAAGGATAGTTCGCACAACTACAATGGTAAGAATTACAATCACTCATTAAGTTCATGTTACTGCATGAATTATGACAAGCATTCTCTTTACTTGTCAGTAACATTCAGCCAGAGCTCATTTTTAACATCGCAGAATTGATACCAGAGATATAAAAAAGTGGGATACGGTGTGTTGAGGTTGGTAGTGTAAAAAGGTACAGTGATAGTAAGCCTGAGAACTACCGTTTATAATATAGCACCAGAGGCGCAAGACCATATAGCTTAAAATAAATCCCGAATTAGCGAAAAGATTATTAATTAAAGGGAAAGCTTATTCACACAGTATACCTTTAACCATTTAACTGAAAAGTTCCTGCCATACTGCGCAGTTCCATGTTCATGTTTCCAATTTCCTCCACCAATGTAACCACCAATTCTTGATGTCATCTTAGCACAGCCCTATAGCATCATATGTGAAACAAAGTTATATGGAAATATACGATCCTATGAAGAAGAAAACTACAGAAAGGCAAGCATTGGTACAGATGAATAAGAAAACTGATATACCAACATAATAAGCCTTATGGTAGCTAATGCTTAACCCAGTTAACTACCTGGAAATGCCGGGTCCGGTTGACAGAAAATATCAAGATCACGTTTTCCACAGAATCAAAAGCTTCATTAAGTTTAGCTTCATTGCTCCTTTGTGTAGCCCATACTCCTTGTTGCACAGATAATTCAAAATTTTCTCGATTGCAACTTTTGACTACAAAATACCTGAAAAACCAAGATCCTAAATTACATTAGGGATGACCGAGGACGAGTAAGAATATAGCATGAGGCATAGATATACACAGTCAATGTGATGCATAAAATCAAACATACAACAATTACATCAAACTATAAGACAAAGCCAAAATCCTAGACAACGTTTAAAGAATTCCATCCTTCTTCAGATAATGATATACACTGTATGTGATTTCAGAAGATATAGCTACATGAATTACAAATTCCCTTACCAATATCTGAAAGATTAGGTTTTAGTCAAAAAGCAACCCTTGGAGGCCAATAAGATAACAAACTGTAATCATAAAGACCGGCAAAATCATCTGCAATCTAGCCATATCTCTATGCGTACTAGAAAGGAAAACCGCTAGCAATATGAAATTTCAGATATGCGAACACACAAAGTCCACGCCCTAGGCCGGTTAGCAATGACGAGATATTAGCATATAATTTACAGAAATGCAAGCACAATCGTTATCAAGATGGTAGGAAAGGTTAATAACTGAGACTGTTGGTAAAAGAGATATAAGTCGTATACTAATTAAAGACAATCTAAAGGTCATAAGTGCCACGCTCATGAAAATAGAAAGCTGAACGTACATCTATGTTGAAAAGAATGCTAACTATATGACGCAAGCAGCAAGCACAAACTGTCATAATACAGGAAATAAAGACAAACCTAAACAGTCTGGAACCTCTTTTTTAACAGTATCAAAACGGCTCACATCATAAACATTATATACTGCTAAGAGAAAACATGAGTCTTAGGGTCTCAGAAGTCCTCAAAACCACTCGCGAATAGGCAGTTGAGCAGAGGACTAACCAAACTGGTGCTATAATATAGTAATTTTAAAGTAACAAAATAATTCAGGTATGCTTCTTTATGACACAAAACTCTAAAGACTATAATCAACTATAAAATACAATACAGTATTAGCAAATACATGTATACCACCATTTGCAAAGCCTATCTCCCAAATTTGCTCAGTGAAGAAGGGTACCTGATGGAAAGAGGAGACTAATAATCCGTAAAGATTAATCAGAGTGCAAAACCAGCCCGCAAGCTAAATATGTGTCAATTTTTTGTTTTGTTAACAATTGGGGTAAAATGTACTACCTGACATTTACCTAACTATCAAAGAAAAAGAATCCTAAAATCAAGGGTAGTAATGAAACATGAAGTTCAATATGTATATATATATAAAGTTAAAAAAATTCTGAACTGCAAGTAACCAGTTACATTTAAAAGTGATCAAATCTCTCATAAGAAACCATGGTTCAATAATGGGTTAATAACAACCGTCTTGATAGATATACAGAAACATAATTTACATAACCCAATTAAAAACCTTGGGACTCTGAACAAACCTATTTACCCCCTGAGGCAAAGGATGAGATGATCTGTTTGTTTGGTCAGCAGGGTTTGGTATCTGTGTCTGGCTGACCTGGTGTTGTGATTGCTGAGGTTGTTGTTGTTGTTGTTGCTGCTGCTGCAAGTTACCTGGTTCTTGTGGCTGGCCTTGCGCCGGAACTTGCCCCAGAGGTTTATCTTGTAGCTGTGGAGCAACATTCCGTGGTTGATAGAACCTATTTGGCCCAAAATTGTATGATGTCAATTGTTGTATCTTCTGAAGAACTTCCTCAACTGGAGGTGGAGGTCCAGGAAGCTTTGCATGCCTGTATCGACAATCAGGACCATTGGGACAAAATCCCAGCTTGTACCTGCAAAATATAATCGCAACACTCCATCTGTAAGTACAAAAGCTAACCAAACAAAGAATTAACACAATCTCAATCATTGCATAATGTAGAATCTCTGAGACTTCATAACGATAACATACAATTGTTGAATCCCTTTAGCACCAAGTTCAGCAATTTACTAAAACCCTTATATCAATCAATAAGCAGTTCCATGTTCTACTGAAAAAGGAAAAAAACAAAAAGAGAGAGAATTTGAAAGTAAGAAAAGAGGCAAGTGATACTCTATTGTACATACATATTGCATTCTTTGATGTCTTCATTGGTATGCTTATACACACAATCCTGCTCACGGCATTCACCGTATAACCGGAAAAACCGGCAGATCGGCATACGAGCTTTGTCATACTGGTGGAGAAATCCACAGGCGTCACCTTTCATACACAGACCACGAAGCCAGTGTCTGCAAACAGTCTGTCGGAAACTTCGTCCTCTACCAGCTCCAGCGACCGTCGCGGCAGAATGATCGTAGCTCGGTGCTACGTTAACAGCGGCGGAGGAAGAGTTATCAGGCGGAGCAACCGGGACTGAAGCGGAGGACTGAACAGGTCCGGAATCAAGACCGCCTTCGAAATCGAAGCTGAGTCCATCAGCATCCTCCATTGTTAACGATGCTCGAAGGCTTCAATTTTCCTAGGGCTTTGAAGAAACGAACAGAGAGAGAGGAGAGATCGATCGGAGGATTTTGAGCTTTCTGATGTTAATAAATAAGGTTTAACGAATCAGGCTCGGTTCATCGGTTATATCAGATTGAACCGGTAATTTTGACGGTTTATCGAACAGGTAGCTACTTTTTTATATAAAAAGTGTGTTATGCATTTGGTTTAATTATTTATCTCAATCTGATGTGAAACTAAAACCGGAGCCTAATCTATAATGGACAAGAAACAAAAATACTCGAAATAAAACTATACCTGTCAGCAACTGCAAATGATCATTAATAAGAATCCAAGCTCTTACATATAAATCCTTCAAGAATTACATAAAACCCATTATCACAAAGTAACAAGAATTTTTAAATTGCAATCAAGACGGAACAGCGAGGGCCAAGTAACATCTCCTTTAGAGAAAAATCTTGAAAGAATAGACAACGCTTAGACTTTTTCAAGCGCTTGTTCTTCGAGAAGTATACATAAAACCCCATTATTATCACAAAGAGGCAATACTTTCAACGTGGTTGGGTGAGATGTGGACGCAACATGCATCTGAAATTCTATATCGGCGCCTAAACTCTTCATCGTCTGCAATTCCTTTGAGCATAACTTTTCTCATGTCATTTCTATCTACATTGTAGTAGAAAATGTAGTAGGGTTGAACATCCCGCGGTAGATTTTTAAGGGCAAAAATGAATTCACCCGCTTTGTTGATTCCCGGGCAAGTCATCGTCGTACCCAATCCTAAAGAGAAGGGAAGCTTAAATGTTTGCTTGGACCAAAGATGTCTATCCACATCCTCTAGGATCCATAAATCAAAACTCGTAAGAGGATGGAAGGGCTCTTTTACAATGGAAGCTAACTTACCTTTGTATTCTATCAATATTGATTCACCCTCCCAATACACAACATCCAAAGGCGCTCTGATAAAACTTATACTCTCAAATCTAACATCAAAAGTCACAATCACAGGATTCTCATCTCGAGTGGGGGTCCAAGCACCAAAATACACAAAACCATTGATGCATATTGCTTTAGTTAGACTTTTATAAGGCGGGGAGTTAACCTGATTGCGTCTCCATGAAGATTCTCCTCCTCCTCCATGTGTTAAAACCTCGTGCACTAGAAAATCATGTGCCCGGTAAGTATCAGACACCAAGGTCAATGCTTTGAATTGATCACCAACAGGATCGTATCCCAAGGAAGTGCGTGACCCTGGTATGTTAGTGAGTTTCCCTGTGATAGGGTTACATATAATGAACGGATTATGCGCAGTAATCCCCAGGAAGCCATGGACGGAAGCACAGACGGTGGCAGAGTTGCTATACATGGTCACGGAAGGTATTGTCATATGGAGAGTGGTAGCCAAAGATGAAGATTCCCTTCCCTCGTGTGAAGACGAGAAGATAAACAAACGTTTGTCCTGACTCTGGACTGATCTACCAAAATTAGTGAAAGCGATTATAAACCGCGATTGCGTCATAGAGGACATGGAGAAGAAGGAATCGACGAAAGTCTGGCTTTGGATGATGGAGGACCAGATCTTTGACACGCATCGGAACTTCAAAAGAGCCTTCGCCGGCAATCTAGTCAGTATCTCAATCTCTAGGTCAAGAGGAAGCGGATCTATCTTACTTGAGCTTGTTGCTTTCTCAGTGTTACAATCTCGCTCCTTGGCTTGAAGAGGGATCGAATCCAAATTACTTGAGCTTGTGGCTTTCTCAGTGTTACGATCTCGCTCCTTGGCTTGAAGAGGGATCGAATCCAAATTACTTGAGCTTGTGGCTTTCTCAGTGTTACGATCTCGCTCCTTGGATTGAAGAGGGATCGAATCAAACTTACTTGAGCTGCTGCAGCACCTATCCTTCTCATCGTCTCTGTATTTCACACACAGACATCGGAGCCAATTTCTATAGACAGTCTGCCGGAAACTTCGTCCCTTCCCAGCTCCAACCACAGTCGCGGCGGAATGATCGTAGTTTGGTGCTACATTAACAGCGGCGGAGGAAGAGTTTTCAGGCAGAACAACCGGGACTGAAGAAGCGGTGGGCTGAACAGGTCCGGAATCGAGACCGCCTTTGAAATCGAAGCTGAGTCCATCAGCGTCCTCCATTGTTAACGATGCTCTAAGTCTTAAGGTTTCAATTTTAGGGATTTGAAGAGACGAACAAAGAGAGAGATATCAATCGGAGGGGTTTTGAGGTTTCTGACGTTCATATACAACGACTCAGGCTCGGTTCATCGGTTTACTAAAACCGGTAATTTAAGAAAATTAATTATACACACCCAAATCTGTATTATAAACAGACCACGTTCATATACAGTGTATAATTAATTTTTTTTCTCTCACAAGTCACACACAACTAACCAGCAATGTATTGTTGAATATAGACCACACTACTTGGGACGTTTATAGCAAAAATAAATTAATTTTGGGGATTTTTTAAAAAGAAAGTTTTTTTTTTTTTTTTGTGTGTGTCTTCCTTGCCTTCTTCTATCTATATCTCTAAGCACTACCCTCCCGCAATTGAAGGTTCTCTTCGTCGCTCTCGCTCATCTCCTTTCGATCTCAGATTCGAAATTTTTTTTCCTTGGCATAGCGATTACAGATTCTAGGGTTTCCAATTACTTGTTTCCCAATCGACCCTCTTCTCCTTTTATTTTCCGGGGCGAATTTGCCCTTAGGGTTTCTAAGATCGGAATCTGTGGACGGAGGCAATTCGACGTTTTTCTTGAGCTTCTGCAAAGATGTTCTGGCGAATGGCGGGATTGTCAACGGCGTCTGCCGTGAGTTTTTCTTCTCCCCGACTTGTTTTTATTAACGATCGTGTGTGTAATTTATGTGGTGAATAAGGCACGAGAGTTTTCGCTGTTTGTTTCAATCCTGGACGTGAATCTTGCTGATGGATTTTAAGTTTAACGCTTTGGGGGTTGTACGGGTTCATTGAGGTTTCATTTCTGGGGATTTGGAAGCTGCCTCTGTTTCTTTAGACGAATATGTTGGAGGGAGGTGAAGGGATTTATGGTTTCTGTTGTGTTTTAATTTTATATTGGATTAGAAAGTAAAGAAGTGTCTTCGTATACCTTATTCTTGATGATAATCTAAGAACTGTCTTGCTGGTAGTCTGCATTTCCTACACTAGTTTTTGTACAAGGGAGGTGAAATGTAGAGTGAAGAGAAATCTTGTCGATGTGATTAGAGAGTAGAGAATATTTTTGAACGATGAAAGTCTTCCCCTGATTACTGTCATCAGATTGTTTAGTAGTTCCAGTGATAACCCCTAACCTTCAAATGGACATCTAAACAGGCATAGGTTCTAGGTAGTGTATTGAAATGATACTGAAAACACTAGTAGAGGATGAGGATACGGATTTGGGTTAACCTGGCCTTTCAAAGGGGATGTTTCTGTGAATTTTTATGTAATTTGTTTGTCTCATCTACCGGGACTTTATTCATATTGTATAATCTGGCTGCTCGCTATTCATAGTCTTTGTGCTTTGTGAAATTTCGAATTTTCTTTTGCAGGTTGAAGCAATTTTGGACAAAGATAGTTTCACATTAGAGGAACTTCTTGACGAGGATGAGATTATTCAAGAATGCAAAGCCCTGAACGGAAGACTCTTAACTTTGTATGCTCTGTAACCACTTTTTTTCTTTTTTATGCTTCATGACCCTTTTTGGGAGAGGAAAAGAAATGCAATTGTTCATGTGTAGAGGTTAGAAGTGACTGTGCATTGGCTTTGGGTGCTGAATATATTGCTTAAAAATGCTGTCACTTATTTTGATGTCCACCTTCAAGGCTCCAAAGCTTGGCTAATTAAATATTCAACAACTAAAAACATTTCTACTTTCACCTATTATTTTGCGACATGCCATGTTTGCATCAAATGATATTTCTGTCAGTTTTTTGAGGAAAATAGTCATCTTATTCTGCCCAACAGTTGGATTTTCAAATTCTCTTCTTAAATTATATTCGCTTTCACTGGCAATGCCCACTCGGTCTTGACTATTGGATTTTCTTATTTCAGCTTGAGAGAAAGAGTGCAAGTGGAACAACTTATTAGGTACATAATAGAGGAGCCTCTGGACGATGTTGAAAAGAAGAGAACTTTCAAGTAAGTGTTGGATAAATGATCCGAAAATAATCAATAGATAATGAATTAAATTGAATGAACAAGTGATATTCTTTTATGTTGTAGGTTTCCTTTCATTGCCTGTGAAATTTTTACATGTGAGATCGAAATGATACTGAAAACACTAGTAGAGGATGAGGAGGTAGACATTGACTCTATTACTTTCTCCTATATTAATACTCCTTAAATGGTTAGGGATTAAGGTTTCCTACCTCTCATGATCTCCTTCTTTTTGCAGTTGATGTTATTGCTGTTTTCGTATTTGGAAGCTAAAGAAACCCATAACTCATTACTCGCAGGTTACTTCAGCAAGGTATATAGCATTCAACAAATTTTAATTACCAGAAAACTCATTGAGAACTTTTCCATGCTCTGATAGGACTCCATAGAGTTTCTTCAACGTGTTCTTTCTTACATCTTCTGTTACCAGGTTGTCATCTGTTTGCTGGTGCGGAAGACGATTCCTTTCATGCAATTTATAAAGGTGAGTTGGTTTTGTTTCCTAGATTAAGCTTTTCTTTCAAGAATGTCTTGAACTAGTCTATAATTACGGTGGATGTGCAAGAATTAGTATATTTCTTCATCTTTGTTGAGATTATTGAACCATTAGCAAGCTACTTTCTTGTTCACTTTAAATCTTCTGTGTAACTTGAGATAATGGTGTTAAATAGTCAGAGATTTTGATGAAGATCTGTTTTTGTGTTTAATTATTGAAAGAGCTTTTTACTAATCAACAATATTCAATCGAATCCTGTTGATAAAATTTTGATAACTGGTACACAAGTTCACAATGCTTTAAACACCATTTAGCCATCTGAAGATGTATATTAAGAATTCAAATTATGATTAACCTTGGCTTTGTTTTGCTACTAGGATCATCAAGACATACTGAAGCAGCTTGTTGATTTGATTGGTACTACATCTATAATGGAGGTTGGTTTTTCTTTTTCTAATGCGTTATTACACATTACACATCTACTTGAGAATATACTGAATAGTTGAAATCTGACTACCACAACAAGAGTGATAGACCCAGCCGTAATGATGAGAACAATGAAAAATAATTGCTGATATTGCTCTCATCATTGTCTCATGGTGCGTATTGTTGTTTAGTTATGGTTGTTGGTTTGTTACACCAGGGACTTTTTCAATTATTAGCTGTAAAAAATGAAGGTTAGAATACTTGTAGGAGATACCGAGAGGTTGTAAAATAATAGATTTTCTTACAATTGCTTGTTTCCAAGACTCTTAACTTATTAGTTGGTGTTCAGGTTTTAAAACGTCTGGTTGGTACTGATGAGCACCTATATTCGAACTACACAAGTGCAATGCAGTGGGTAGAAGATACAGATGTTTTAGAGATGATTGTGGATAAGTTTGGCTCCTCAGTAAGTTCCAGTCAGTTGTATGGAATTACTTTTCTTTCAATATGACTAGTCCATGGCCTTCCTTCTTTACTTCAGATTTTATTCCATCATCCCAGGCACTGCAATCTACTGATAACTCAGGAGATTTTTGTTATACTTTTGTAGGATTCTCCCGAGGTACATGCCAATGCAGCTGAAATTCTTTGTACTGTAGCAAGATACGCACCCCCTGGTCTTGCTACAAAGCTTTCCAGCCCAAGGTAGATATTTCTCAGCTTTGGCTATTTTTTTCTTTATTCGTTGTTATTGTTGAAAATTTCTAAGTAACTGACTTATTCCCTGTAAACTCTTATGCAGTTGCACTGGAAGGTTGTTAAAACATACTTTAGAAGATTCACGGCCTAAGTCTGTTCTGGTTAATTCATTGTCTGTATGCATATCTCTGCTGGATCCTAAGAGGTTTACAATGGGGACTTATCATATATACGGTCGTCAACTAACCCATGGAAGCATGGCAACTAATCCCGAGACAGTGGAGGGAATGCTTGGAAGCCTAGGTGAGAAAATACAGTATGGTTATTATATGTTCGAATGTAGTTGTGCTTGTCTGTTGACTTCTTGGATACCATATTCTCTATTGTGAGAGATGTGGTTGGGTTGGGAAGGAAGAATACTGGGTCTCTTTTGTGGGCTTTGAAACCTACAAATAGATTTCTATGCACACTTGTCGCTTGTTGGTATGAAAACTGGTCAAACTGTATTTTTTTCTATCTTGTAGAGTCTTAGACTATCATTATGGCATTTGCTTTCTCAACTTTTATAGGGAGTTTGGCTGTTATTGTGTGGTTTGTAATGTTAACGAGTCTCTTCGCTCTTATATATATTATGTGCCGTCCGTAAAACAAAAAAAAAAATATATATATTATGTAATATGCTTCTCTACCGTGCAGGTGATTTACTTGAGCTTTTGAATGTTTCATCTGCTGAGGGTATTTTGTTAACAACGTATGGCAAGTTGCAACCACCTCTTGGAAAACATAGATTAAAGGTATTTTTTATTCTCATTTGTATGATTTGTTTCTAGTTATAATGTATCTTTCACTGTTATTGTGGTTTATAATTTAAAATTTATTGTTCCTAGATTGTAGAGTTTATTTCAGTCTTACTCACCGTCGGTAGTGAAGCAGCAGAAAAGGAAGTAATTCGACTTGGGGCGGTGAAAAGAGTGTTGGAGTTATTCTTCGAGTAAGTGGGAACTTCCATGATTTTAGTTGTTGATATGCAGATTGCCATGCTAAATTGTGATGCAACTGTGTCTCAGGTATCCCTACAACAATTTTCTGCATCACCATGTGGAGAATGTAATTCTTTCATGTTTAGAGAGCAAAAACTCTCAACTTGTTGACCATCTTCTAAGTGAGTGCAATCTTATTGGAAGTATACTAGAGGCGGAAAAAGACTGCACATTAACTGCTGGTGATTCTGATAAGGTGAAGATACATAATTGGTAATATCTGGGGTTGGCATCAGTAGTTATTAACGTGGTTTATATATATGATGTGTCAGCTTCAGCCTACAGTCCCTGCAGAGGGTAGAAAGCCACTCAGGACTGGAAACATTGGTCATTTGACTCGTATCTCGAACAAACTTCTTCAGCTAGCTAATAGTAATGTCGAAATTCAGTCTCATTTGCAGGTATATACGATGGTTCTGTCTTATGGGATTTATTATTTTCATCGCGTTCTACACATTCATGTACTCATGCAGATATGAAGCAGAACTAAACCATTTTCTGTATGAAATTTATAGAAGATCAGATGGGAAAGAAAAAAAATTGCTCAGGGCTTTACTCTTTTTTAATTTCTCCCAGAGATATTTCCTTCATAGCTTGTTTGCATGTGAAAGATTGAGAAGGGTTCTAGTCTTGTAGGGTGTTGGTCTTTAGTATTAAACTCTTCAATTCTTCATATCTTGTTGACTTTTTGTGCTACGTTTTTTACCAGGAAAATAGCAAATGGGTGGACTGGCAGACAGATGTCTTGTCAAAGCGTAATACATTGGAAAATGTCTACTCGTGGGCCTGCGGGTATGTATTTTTCTCTTATAGGGTGTTTTATTTAAGACTTAAAGAAACTTATGACACCGACTTCTGTTTTCAAATTATTACCAAAGGCAGAGCTTATACTGAAAATAGTAATTTTCTTACAAAAGTTTACATTTTTGAAATTTTCTTTTGCTTTAATAACAATCAAAATAGATGATAGGTTGCACCTTCCACTATGTGGCATTAAGAGCTTGCATTTGGGATTTTCTTTAGGGGGTAATAAATTGTACACGAGAAGGCTGTAGTGATGGTTGGTGTAGTAGATGGAGAATTCTTTTTGCTGATATTTTTCTGCTTAACAGGAGGCCAACTTCACTCCATGATCGTAGTAGAGATAGTGATGATGATGATTACCACGATAGAGACTATGATGTGGCAGCCCTAGCAAACAATTTGAGCCAGGCCTTTCGATATGGAATTTACAGCAACGATGATATGGATGAGGTGATGTCTCGTTTACCTCTGCTTGGTTTACCTCTGGATAGTTAGCATGGGGTTCCAACCGTCTTCTCTTCCTTTATCATCGTGAATTAGCCTGGAAGTAGCTTGGATAAAATCGGTTTACTGAGCAACTATATTCTGCCAAAGCTTTTGATTTTCATAGCATTGTTTTCCTCATAATACATTTGTTCTACCATTTACATTTTTATTTATCCACTGCAGGCCCAAGGCTCTATGGAACGCGATGATGAGGTATATTTAGTCTTTTCCTTAACTTTTGGAGTTAAGACTTGACTTACGTTTTGGAACAAGTAGGAAGAGTGTTTTTACTTATTTCCTTTTCTCCTTTCTGCTCGCCCTAATTTTTGGTTGCGAGTCAGGTGCCTGTTTGTCTAAGCCACCCCGTATGATGAAAGTTGTAGTGATATGTTTAAAACCTCTTATGATGTCTATGTTGCAGGATGTCTACTTTGATGATGAATCTGCAGAAGTCGTCATATCTTCCTTGCGTCTTGGAGATGATCAGGAGAGGTAACGAGCTCAACTTTTCTTTTCTGGTAGAAATTAAACCGTTGATTTGCATCATATATGGTTGATGTGATCCCTTAACTTGGTGTTGTTGTTGTAGTGATTCTCTCTTCACAAATTCAAACTGGTTTGCATTCGATGATGATAATGCTGCGAATGAGCGCTCAGTTAGCTCAATTGCGTCCCCTTCACCCAATGCTGATGGAGATCGTGAGGATGACGATGTTGTCATAGGTGAAGCTGATGAATTCAACGATGCTGTTGCCTCTTCCCCATCTGTTGATATGGAAACAGAGGATTCTTCATCAAAGCATCCTTCTGAAAACCCTAGTGAACCAGAACCTGAAAAGTCACCTGCTTGGGTTGAATGGAGAGAGACCTCCGAGTCCACTTCGCCTACTTCCAACCCAGATGAAGTTACCATATTGTCCAATGGTGATGTTCAAATCGAAAAAGAGGACAATGGCGATGATGCTGATAACAAAAGTGCTGAGGATTCACCAGGTGCATCTGGCAATGAAACCACAGAGAAGTTGCCAGATGGGAGTGGTGTTGAACCCACTGAGAGCTCACCAAAAGCTAGTGATGTGGAACTCACTGAGAGTTCACCAAAAGCTAGTGATGTGGAACTCCCTGAGAGCTCACCGAAAGCTAGTGATGTGGAACTGACTGAGAGCTCACCAAAAGCAAGTGGTACTGCAATAACCGAGAACTTGAGAGATCTCGGTCCTGCTGAAACGCAGGCGGATGTTGAAAGCTCTGAACCTAAAATCCCCCAGGAGACGGAAGAAACAGAAGTTGCAGCTGAAGCAGATGCCAAAGAAACAGAGGTTGCAGCTGAAGCAGATGCCAAAGAAACCAAAGAAACTGTGAAGGAACCAGAGAAGGTGTAGCTTGAGTTTAAGGGCTTTACTCAACCAGGTCTCTCTTTAACTAGCAAAACAAATTCCTGCTGATGCTTTTTGTGGAGGCCTTAGTCTGTTTTGGGTACAATTTATTATTCTTTTCTCTTTTCCTTGTTTGTTGTTTTTTACTCTTCATTGTATCATTTCTAAATCCGGTCTCTATTATTCAAAACATTATTGTCGACCCAAAAAATTTGTTACTAGCTTTCCATATTTTATTAGAACGAGTTTAATTTGTTCCTCATAGACACATAAAGTGTGTTGTAAAGTTGCCCGCAACAGATTTAACACTTTCCCGACTAATTCACTTTGCTAAATTCTCTTTTTCTCGTTCTGTTAAATAGTATCATCAAGTCACTTAGCAAACTTTTCTAACGTTAGCTTGACTTCAAATGATGTAAGGATGAGAACTTTTAAATATTTCTTGCCTCTGAGGTTGATATCACTTGGCAAGTCTCCATTGTGTGGAGAAGGGTAATTGCCAGATTCTTCGAATATGGAAACCCACAATAGTTATCAAAGTCAATAAATGTATCATTACCTTAACTTGTTAATGTAAAATTCGGTAAATATGGAAAGTGTATGGTTTCTTCCTTTGTATATAAAAGATTTAACGATGCCTAGTGTATAAATCTTCTTTTTTCTCCATTGAGTTTCAGTCTAGGGTTTTCTTCTTCTTTTTCACCAAGCTTCCTTCACAATGGCCAACCCAAACCAATCTGTCCGGGTACTTCTTCCTCTCTCTCACTCTCCCAATCTATCTATATATATATCACTCTCTCTTCAGTGCCAATGATTCTGTGTAAATTTTGCAGATTTGCATACTAAAAGTCGATCTTAAGTGTTGCACCGGTTGCCAAAAAAAAGCAAGCATGAAGTTGCAGAGTATCCCTGGTAAGAAAAAGGTCCTAACTTCTTAAGTGCGAGACTCATAAGTCATAAGTCTTAATCACGAGATTCTTAATACTTAGTTTTTAATGGAAACAGGTGTAGACGAAGTACAGTATAACAGCGAAAAAGGGCTCATGACGATCACAGGTGACGTAGAACCTATGACTCTAGTTCGTAAACTTAATAAATGCGGCAAAAAAACAGAGCTCTTCTCAGTTAAGTACCAGCTTGAAGATGATGATCTAAACAGTGAGGACGAAGATGACGCTTCTTCTGACTCTACTAGTTCATATTATGATCCTAAACCCATGGAACGTGAAGTCCAAGAGAAGATGAAGCAGCAGAACAAGACAGGGCTACCAAAAAAACCTTCTCTTCTAGGGTGTTTCAGCAGTAAATCAAAGGTTGTTCAGCCTTTACCGATGCGAAACCGAAACTGGCATATCCCATCAAAGTTTGGGAATGGCCCTCCAGGCTTTGGCTTTCCTTTTGCCAATACTACTACATCATCACAGTTGCTGCGGCCTCCGTATCCCATGATGCCCTATCCACCAATGATGCAACAACAACAACCACCACCACCTTTTCCAATGACAGGAGCTGCAATGCCATACAATGTTAACATGTACCAGACAGCATACCAACCTTATTTTATGTCGAAGCAGGCACCAACGGACAAGTTTAACACTGGGCTGCATTTCACTGGTGGCAAGAAGTGACTCGGAATGCTTTGATTTTATTTCCTAGATGCATATACTAAGCAAAAGATTTGTTTTGCATTGAAGTGTCGTCTCTTTTGCCAATTGCCAGTAATGAACATTTCGTAGGCCTGGCAAAATTTTAAACAAAAGAGTAAATTTTTACGTCATTCATGTGTGCTTCTCTGCGTCTTCCGAATCTGGTTGCATAGTTTGCACATTTGTATAAGATGAACTTTGTCTATGTCAACAAGAATCTGATTCATAACACAACTGAGAAAACATAAGATTTGTGCCTATTGGTAGTACTAGAATCTATTGTCTCCTGGAGAATACTTGTCTTGAGATTTGTCTATTGTGCATCATGTTTTCCCTCTTCAATGGCTGTTTTCATGTTCGCCCTCTAAATCTTTCAAGTATCCCATGAACAAAAGAAACCCGAAAAGGAAAAATCCACCTGAAGAGCTCCCTCCTCCACCTCCGCCACCACCACCACCGCCATCATCCCGGGGCGGGAACCCGTTTCCACCATCATCAAGCTTTGGGGATTTATCTTTTCCTGATACTTAAGCAAATGATAAAAGTTAAGTTCTGAAATTACCAACTAGAATAGACAAGTCCATCTCAATTTTTTGAACTAGAATAAGAACCATAGCAAGTCACAATATTAATTCTAAAAAACAGTTCAACATTTGTTAGAACCGTAACAGATCATATAGTTTTAAGCCTTTCTAGTTTGTTTGAAACACAAAATAGTTTCCTAAACATGAACACGCACATCAATAGGGTTAACAAGGAGAAAGATGCAACAATTTACCAGGAGCTTGTGTGATTGTTGGTGATTTCCGCGTAACGGTCTGTGTTTGCCCTTGACTGCATTTTGAATTCTGCAGAATAAAAATCAGAATACATAAACAGCTAGCTACTCAGAGACACCTAGGAAGAGAATTCCGGACAATTAAAGTATTGACCATAAGAGGAAAAGGATGATCTTGGTCATCAAATAAGCAAAATGGTGTATGATGACATGCAAATCAAAAAGTTATCCCAACAGCTAAAGAGTTAAACACATAAACTTAAGATAGGAACATTACATGCAAAGAGATGGAACTAACTCGCAACACACAAATAGAACATACCAGCGCAGAATTACATGTAAAGACAGATCTTTTATTCTTAGAGACGACAATAGGTTGCACTGCACGCAGTCCAACTGCCTTGCTCCACGGTTGGAGTTGCATAGAAACTGTTGTAAGATAACGCCTATGAAAGTTTCCTGTCACATGGGAGAGTAGAAGAAGAGCTTCAGACTTCATTCAATAGAATAACGGACTAAGAAGAAGGGTCAATGCTAGGACAATAGGTGAGGATCCAATTATCAGACATCAATAATAACAACTCTAGTTTCTTCAAATTTTTCAATGAGAAATCCTAAACTCAGCTTCAAAGCTAAAAGTAACTTGTACACAGGATTTTCCAAGCAACTTCCTCAATGCCAACCAATTGTAAACTAAGTGGCAGTAAAAACCAAACAAGAACCCCAATCATCTGTTGAAATTTGAAGAAGAACAATACAAAAGTAGACGTAAGACATATACCATTACTGGAAAATTGATTCAGGCGAGGAGGGAGGTACACAAGCGGTTGTGCACCAACACACAACGAGGGATTCATCACCACCATATCTGCAAAGAAAGAACAAATCCAAAGATTAAACCTTTTCACCATTTCCACACACAAAATTAAGGCTTAAACAAAAATCAATTATATGTAAATATGCGATTTCAGTAGCTTCAAAACTCGATTAATCTGTGCAGGGCAAAAAACAAAAGGAGGAAAACCCCCAAAATGATTCGCATCAAAGCTCGTAGATATTTTTTTGTCTAAGAAGAAGCAGAGAAAATCTGGGATTTGGTGGCTTCTCGAAGTTTCTCGATCATAGAAAAGTAAAACCCAGATACTATGAAGACGAAATATCAGGATCGTAAATCGCACCTGAAGAATTAAACGCAAGAAGACGGAAAAAACAAGACTTTCCTAGGGTTTATCCCACAAATCAATTACAAGCGTTGGCTTCTGATGCAAGAATTGTAAATAAAAACAACACTTTTGAGTTTGAGAGAGATGCTAAATATTCTTTTCTCTTTTTTCTTAAGTCGGTTTTATTTTTATTTTTATTTTTATTTTAAACAGTAAAAAGCTTTTTTTATTTTATTTTTGGTCTTATTTTTGAAAGAAGTTGATCGGAAAATTAAAAGACCTAATTTTGAACAGATCTTTTCAATTGAAAGGGAACAGTGAAATCAAGAGCTGAAATTTTCTTACCGGCGGCGAAAAATATGCTTGGTGGATTATACGGAGACCTTCCTCCACCGTCCGACGATGAGAAACCCAGCGGCAACTCCTCCTCCGTCTGGTCAAGCAGTAACAAAATGGCTCCACCCACTCTTCGCAAACCACCGGCTTTTGCTCCGACTCAAACAATCCTAAGACCTCTGAACAAACCCAAACCTATCGCCTCGTCGCAGTACAAACCTCCTCCTTCTTCTTCTTCCTCGCAATTGGTGATTACTCCAGCGAACGAATCAGCACCTTCGCAGCCAGCATTGGTCGGTATGACTTCATCGGTGATTGAAGAGTACGATCCGGCGAGACCTAACGATTACGATGAGTATGTAAGGGAGAAGAAGCGGAAAGTTATGGAAGCTGAGATGAAGCGAGAGCTGGATAAGAGAAGGCAAGAGGAAGAGGAAAGAGAGAAGAGAGAAAGAGAAGAGAGGGAGAAGGAGAGGGAAAGAGATAACAGTGATCCGTCTCGATTGAATATCTCAGGTGAGGAAGCGTGGAAGAGGCGCGCCGCTATGAGTGGTGGAAGCGTTGGGAAGCGAAGATCTTCGTCTCCTCCGGGGAATGTTGACGGATTTAGTATAGGTAAATCGGAGACGAGTGGGTTAGGAGTTGGAGCAGGTGGGCAGATGACAGCTGCTCAGAGGATGATGGCGAAGATGGGATGGAAACAAGGACAAGGGCTTGGGAAATCAGAGCAAGGTATCACTACGCCATTGATGGCTAAGAAGACTGATCGTAGGGCTGGTGTGATTGTGAATGCTAGTGAGAATAAGTCTGCGGAGAAGAAGGTTAAGAGTGTTAATATCAATGGTGAACCTACCAGGATTCTGCTTCTTAGAAACATGGTATGAGTTTCAATACACCTCTTACCTTATGCATTCTTGACTTCAGATTTTGATGTGCCGCCACAGTCTAACTGTATCAGTATGATATGCCAAAGCCAGCTTATATTTATTCAAATCATTGTTTTAGTGTTCTTGTATAAGGACACTTTGCTACAATAATTTAAAACGGTCTGCTAGGATTTAGGGTGAGAGTGATATTGCTGTATTCCAGCATTTGATGTGCTTCTTCAGAATGAGTTCCTTCACATTTCTGGCAGCATTCTAGATCATTAAATCTAAACCTATACTGATTTTTTGGGGATTGAATATGAGGGCATGTTGGAATACTGTAACTATCTGTGTGAAAATGGAATTGAGTAATGGTCTGCCAAGGGATACTGGAGCTTTTGTGATACTGTGGCTCTGAAGATATCCTGAAATTTAAAAGCTTGTACCTCATAGTGTTACTTATGTTAATGTTAGTCTAGTGTACTGCTGGACTGTTATAAAATTTAAATTGGAAAGAACGTTTTAGATGCAGAAGTTACAATATCTTCCCCTCGGATCGTCAAATAGGCATTTGGGACTTTAGTTTCTGAGGCTAGCATAACTTGAGCTCTCAGGATTGTTTTGCCTAATACTAAAGAGTTCAAAATGAAACGTGAGCGTTGGCATGTAATTGAAGGAAATTTTATAGGTTTTAGGATACTGTAATAGCTCTCATATTTTTTTCTATGTGACACGATTCTTTACTATCGCCGTAGTATTATTGGTATGTGAATCATCTTCATAGCTATGGTCAGAAACGAAGCATCACTTGTGTATTACGCTCTGCAATAATGATTTACTGATCACCTGTTTTATCTGAATCTGAAGGTTGGACCAGGAGAAGTAGATGATGAGCTAGAAGATGAGGTGGGAGGCGAGTGTGGCAAATACGGTACAGTTACTCGTGTACTGATATTCGAGATCACTGAAAAGGACTTCCCGGTACACGAAGCAGTCAGAATCTTTGTTCAGTTTTCAAGACCCGAGGAAACAACTAAAGCCCTTGTGGATCTCGATGGGAGATACTTTGGAGGAAGGACAGTGCGTGCAACGTTCTATGACGAGGAGAAATTCAGTAAGAACGAGTTGGCTCCAGTTCCAGGAGAGATTCCAGGCTATTAGAAAGTCCCAAGAAACAAACAGCATCTTCTTCTATAACAGATTCTTGATAGAGAAAGAAACCAGAGATGAGGTTTTGAAAACATTTGTAAAGTACTTAGAAACTTTTGGGATCTATCTGTTTTTATTGTTGTTTAAAGTAGCTTCGTTCATGATCAAGAAATGTTCCTCTTCTTCTAATCATGTGTCTATTTTGCATTTGAGTTCAAGCCAACTCGATTTCAATAAAAGAACACTCGATTGCTGACAGACCATTATGCTATGATACGAATTACGAAGGGGACCAAGTGGGTCGGGGATATCCAAATCGAGCTAGTATAAACTGGGCTACTAGGCCCAAAATGTCGATTTGAGGACACACAAATGTACAAATAACAGACCATTTAAAAATTAAAATGATAGTCTCAGAAGAGTGTTATATTTGTTACTTTGGCAACATTAAAATGACAGTAGCAAATGTAATTGAAGGGTAATCCGAACAGTGTTATCGTAAAATTGATCGTGTGATTTTTATATATTGATTATCTATTTCATAAAAAAATCCGTTTGTATTCGCATAGAGAACATATATACACACTATATAGTATATAGCAATATTTAATATGTTAATTGACAATGACAATGTTAAACTAATAGATCACGATAAATCATACGACGAATAGAGAGGTTCTACTATAATTTTACTAATGATCATCATTTTTTTTGTTATTGTTTCTCAAACACTAAAGTATACTATATGAGAAGAGCTATATTAATGTATATTGACCAATCTAGATATATGTATCGGTCAACATAAAATAGTAATCGCTTACAACTGTTTGAAATTTACTAGTATCATTGAAAAGAGTCAATCGAAATCATTGTACTACACGAGTTGATAAGTACATATTACAAATGGTACCCGCATAGAAAGGTAAAAACGACAATGTATCATATCATCAAAACCTGCAGCAAACGTATTTGCTTGTTTTGGTGGTGCACAAAATTCAATGTCCTTCAATCATCAAAGCTACATTTACATTTTCAACATCTCACATGCATGAACTTTTTCAACGTTCAAATTCACGACCCACACTACTCTATACATATGCATTAATAATTTACTACAACACTTTCAAAGTCACACTATCTTGATATATATATCTCACAGAGACTCCTTAATGTTATTAGTAATAATTATGACAACAACAACTACCAGAAAACAGAAACAAACATGCAAAAGAAACAACAGAGCTCTGCACTGATGAAAAACTATTCAGAAAAACATGAAAAAACGGAGTTCTTTTTAAATCGAAAGAGGGGTCAAAATAAGCTAAAAAAGAAAATTAAATGGGTCAAACTGACATTAAGCCAATAAGATATCACTGCATTGCCCAACAGTTTATGTTACTGCTTACCAATTGAAGAAGAAGAAGAAGAAAATAAAACACGTAAAATATATAGTGTTACCCCCTAGCTAGTTTCAAAACTCTGGAATAATCTTTGTTTTAAATGTTTCTTCAGAGTGTTTTGAGTATTGTAGTAGACAAAATGAGAGAAAAGACAAAAGGTTTTTCTTTTATATATTGTAGTTCCTGTCAGTAGCTAGGGTTCTGTGTTCTTTAACTTTGTAATATAATTGCACTTATTAAAACTAGCTATCTATATATCTATTATTCCCTAATTTTCATTTTTTTTTCTTCTTCTTCATAAAATGACAATATTCACGAGTACTGGTTCCGTCGTAACGGACACATTATTGTTTTCGTATGCGTTATGTAACGTTAATAAATAATAAACTATTAATTGGATCCAAAGCATTAAAAACATTTTTTCTGACAAATCTTTTTCTAAAACAAAAATAAAACAATCATTTAAGGCTTTTGGACGAGGGGTTTATATATATGCTGCACACATATAGCGAAATTCAATAATTTCCCAATTTAGGAAAACCAAAAATATACGCAGATGCATACATATAAAAAAAAAATATATATATATACGCAGATGCATACATATATAATTAAGTTCTAGTGTCAATGTGTCATACCTAGCGGGTCCTAGTAACCTAGACTAAACTATGCATGCATGTGCATTCATAGTGCATGTAAGTATAAATTGTACATGCTCATGCACCGCTGGATTACATATATGTCATGTGTAGGTAGTTAAAGTTAAGTTGCCCAATGTATAAGAAGGTTATTAGAGTAAAGAGAATTGGTTTGTATTGGTGTGATTTAACCCGGTTATTGATCTCGATTTATTTGATGTAAAGCAAACCTTTCTCATATATAAGAGAGTTTGATGTTTCTCATATATAAGAGAGTTTGATGTAACGATTAACACAAGTTGAATGAGAATGAGTTTTGAGTCTTCTTCTTCGTAACAACCTTTCTTGTTTTTCTGATTAATCATCTAATATGGTATCAGAGCCGTTTTTCTCATTAATCATCTAATATGGTATCAGAGCCGGGCTAATCCGGTGAAATCACACCAATACAAACCAATTCTCTTTACTTTAATAAAGGTTTTGTAAATATTTTTAATTTCGGTTCGGTTTGCGGTTTTCATAGGCTTTGATTTAAGAAAACCATATGATTCCCAAATACGTGCAAAACAAAACGAATTCGAAATGTTCTCTCTAAACTTCTCTTACACGTATATACAGTATTATCTAATTAAGTAATGTCTATCATTCGTAGGAGAAAAAAAGAAGGATATTGATTTTTGGATTTGAGAGAGCTTTTCACTCATTTTCCTTTACAAGTAATTTAGCAACAAATAAATAACCAACTCTTTCAAAACTATGCCAGAACAGTCTGTTTGATATGGTCCCGGGACGTCAAATATTCTTTACCGAGGTTTAGTGCTGACAATATTGGGGTATATATAAATCAAAACCATATATATAATAAGCAAAGAGTTGTATAGTATTATTTATCAGGACCAAAATAAAAATAAAAAACAACTCGAATTCAAATTGGTAAAAAGTATATTATCTCTGCTTTGTATAATTCCATCAGGTGACAAAAATTGAATATATGTAGCAGTCGACATATATATGCATATTTTGGGACTCGACTCTATTATGTTATTTTGTAAAATGCGAAGGGGGAGGAGGAGGAGGAGGATTAAAATCATGGGGTGACTATGGTGAGTGGTGAAAAAGGGAAGGAGGAGGATGACATAAGCAGTGTTTGACTTAAGAAGAAGAAGGCCAGGCAATGAAGAAGATGGGGAGGAGACAGAATCGGGTAAAAGGACACAGTAGCCACTTCTGTCCCAACCAGAATCTCTTCTGTCTTTTCGCCTCTTTTTTTTCTTTTCTTTTTCTTATACACAACAAATCAACTTGTATATATCTTCCCATTGGGGGCTTAACTTGTTTTATTTCGTTTTTCATCAATGCAGGAGGGGTCAAATCAGTACCCGCACCACATTTTTCCACATTTATTGAGCTGTTTTTCCATCATACTGTAGCCTGTTGGTAGCTCTTTTAATCCTTATACAAATTTAAAATTAGTATTGATCATTAGCATAGCTTCATTCATAGTGTCGTAGCTCCGTTTTTCAATACAGTTTGATTATCGTTGATGATGTGCATGTGCAATGCATCATCCATCCGTAGCTAGAGAACAAAACAAAAATTAACACAAAAGGTAAAGGTTATGATTTATTTATTTATTCATCGTCGAAAATAGTTGCATTTAGTATTTTTACATTAGTTCTATTTCACTTATTTATTTAAATTCAACCAACATATGAAATTTATTGATTTCTTTCTTTTTTCGTCATAACACTTTCATAAACTTTTAACTTGTGAGATTTATATAAGGTGTTTAATTTCCACTACTACTGGGCACGAAGCGAATATTCAGAAAATTTATGATATTTGTTATTTGTTTCGCCTCGACCGAATAGTTGATTTTGCTATTTGCTTCGATTCGTAATTTACGAGTATTCGGAACTTCGAATATTCAAATATTTTTCGTAATATTTGCGAATTACTTGCTTCGGTTCGATTCGACCCATCTAATTTTTTTTGAAACAAAAAACATATAGTACATAAATATAAAGTGCAAAATATGAAATATTAGAGGTTTTTATTTGACATATTTTCAAAATAAGAAGGAAATATAACCACCGTGCATAGAATTCTCACATTTTATTTTTAATAATGATTTTTCTAGTAAAATTTTATTTGCTTAAAAACACCATTTAGCAAAAAAAAAACCCAACGAGCCAAAATATAATAATTTGAATAATAGGTTTATCAGATATATACCCAAATCTATAAATACACATATTATATATATTATATGTATTATATAATAATTTATATTTATACATATATATAAATATACGAAGCGAAGCGGATATTCAGTACTAAAAAAATCAATATTTGTTATTTGCTTCGGTTTTTACAAATACTAAATTTTAATATTTGGTTCGGTTCAATATCTTATAAATATTTGAATTTTTCGAATCGAATCAAAACGAATATCGAACCGAAACGAATTTAACGAATATTTTGCCCAGGGTAATTAGACTACCCAAAAGAAAAAAGAAAAAACGTTTATAGGTTGCTCCTCTTGCCTATTAAGTCAAAGAACAACATCATCATCATGACTAGTTTCTCTTGTCAATTGTCATAGATACTACTATTTCGATTTTAAGAGATCAAATTGCAATGATTATACATCATTTATTGTCAAAGATTCATTCAAATCAATTTCTTCTGGCTAATTATTCATTCATTCACACACCACACTCCAAATGCATTTTTCATGTTGCACACTCACCAATCACAAGTCCCTTAATTCTTTTGTTATGAGTTTAGATATTTACACATACAAAATAAACCCACCACATCCATAAAATCTTTTGCAAAATCAATGATGATTAACTGCAAATTACTAAATAATTCATATTAGATCATAACGTTACCAATATTAAAGAAAAAATTCGAAACATTACTAAAAATAACATAAGCACAAAATAGATAATGTCGTCGTCATACATAGATAAAGTCATCATAACTGATTAAAGAGATCACATTTTTTCCCCATATTACATATTGAGTTATTATGGACCGTCTAACTTAACATACCCTTAGCCGAAAAAACAGCATCCTAACTTTAATATCTAAACATAATCAAACCATTTTCATTCATTCTTCAAACGAACGACCAATTCACGAGGATGAAAGCCAAACAGTGGTTCGATTCGTTGTCGTCAACAACCTTCCACACCGTCGCTTGCTCATACGAAACTGGTCTCCCCATGCTCGACATGCATATTCCCGCCGGAAGATTAGCATATCCCTGAAGATTCAGTCCAAACTTAGTGTATTTCCAAGGTATGACCACTTACTTACCCCGGGAAACTTTAAAGACTAGCTATAGAAAATGTTTACCTGCTGCATGATCTTTGCGAATTCGGAGCAAAGAGCTTTCCGACCAGAGTCATCTAGAGTTTTGTCGAGCATTATATCCTGAAGTGCCACGAGCGTTGTTTCAAGCATGTCTAATCCGGCTTGGTTTGCAAATGTGAATACCGGTGACGCCTAAGATGTAAGAACCACAAAAATTATCAGACTAGCAATTTCCAAGAACTGGATTAAGCACCTTACAAGAACAGAAAGACTTACATTAGTTTTGAGGGAGCAGCACAATATGGCATCAGAATGGTTCCAGAGTAGCTTAAGCAATGTGTCACCTCCACAGGATTGAGAATCACTTCCAAACAGGTCTGCACCTGTATGAGTACTAAAACATCCCAAAAAGAAAAACGTTTCAACCGAATGAAGAATAAGAAAGATAATACGTACATTGTCGTTGCAACTTGCAAGTCCTTTGATAAAGGTTCTAAGAAGAGTACCTGTAACTACGAGTGATCCAACGGACAAGGGTGAGAGCCTCAGGGGAAGTGGGAAGTTGCATTGAGCCAGGACGAGGGGTAATGGCTAAAGCTACTCTCTGGATCGAACCAACAACATTCCTCACATACTGTCTCGCCATTGTAGCAACATTGTCTCTTGAATGATTATCAAATGTGAACTGGAAGGCTATGGTTAAGACCAATCTGGAGTTTGTTTCTGAATCAGTTTTGGTGGAACCATCTAGAGATGACGCAAGATCCCGTGTTCGACTTGCAGATTGATGATCATTCTGTTGCATGCAAAAAGGAAAAAAGATTTTGTGTCAATTGACTGTTCTAGGATATCAAAAGTCTTGTCACATATAGTTCTTTTTACCGGATTTGTTTTTTGTTCGAGTGGTATGACACGAAAACCAGAAGGAAGCAAAGGTGCATCATCAGCAAATGATTCATCGATAGGGGCAAAAACAAGCTGAGCACAACCTCCAACTACATTTTCATCAACGCCGCTGCAAAGCTGTGCAAAAGAAAAGAAAATACAAGGATTTACTTTCAAAAACGTAGCTTGAAGAATCTAAGAGAGTCTTTGATATGAGGCAAACCTGCAGTAAATACATATCCCGGGATAAGCCCATGTCTTCGGGTGAGTAAGCATGACCTCCTAGTCTAACCACTTCGAGGAACTGAAATAAGAGTAAAACAAAATACGATTCAATGATGGCCAAATAAGAGACAACAAGGATAATGTTCTAGAGAATCTGTTTACCTCTTCATGTTCGAGTGTCTGTGCGAGAGGAAGAATGACTTGGTTACTAGGGAACCCACCAGTCCTGACGCACGGAACAGCAAAAGGAGTTGCTCTGAGAGATGCAGCAGAATAGGCATCAACCCCATAGTCTGCCCATTCAGCTCGGTGTTCTCTCAGGAAACGGATCAGTACAAGGGGTGGAACATTCTTTAAGAGGGTATAAATAAGAAAATTGCGTTAGAAATTGAAGAAACCGACTCTTTTGTTTATTTTACAAGTGTCAAATAATGATGTAAGCACCTGCAACAGCATAGAAGCTTTGGCACAGAGGACACCGCTTCCAAAACTTGGAAGAAATGAGCTACCATATTGAGAGCCAGCAAATTTAGCAGAGGAAGAGTTAATCATGATCGTAATATCCTCTGCTCCATCACTACTCATTGGAGACCATCCATCATCCGCAAAACCATTAACAGCATCATTGAAACCACTGAATTTCAAGAAAAACAAACGCAATTAGAGCAATGCTTCGAACAATAAACTAAGCTTACTGAGGAAATATATTACCGGCAGAGTCTTTGGCTGAAAGTTCTTAAAACTGCAGGCTGGCGTCCACCACTGTACTGAACTTCTCCACTAGTCTCTTGAGCAATTTGCCTCACATGTCTCAGAGCCTGAAATGTGGAAGTAACACTCAGAAACACATATGGCCTAGTCATCAGGTCACGAATGGGTCAGGTTTATAAAAACTTACAGCGACGGTCATCTTCTGAGCAAGAATTTTGGAAGACTCATAGAGAGGCCTGAGGACTTCAGGAACACTTGAGACCTACCAAACCAAAGAATTCAGCTATCAACATAAAAGAGGAAAATCCGATTATACCTGATGTGTTTTTATCAATCAAATGCTTACATCCAAGTCAACATGATCAACAATTTGAATAATTGAACCACCACCATCACAAGGACGGATAAGAAACCCGCTTGACAGCATTTTGGCTCTCACAAAGCTTGAAGACATCGGACCATTAGGGCCACCAGTTGCAGAAGTGAGTGATCTCTCACAAACCTTAAGGAAAAATAAAAATTATGAAGGCAAATCTAGCAAACAGAATCATATATAAACAAAGTCAGTTCCTGAGACTCACCACATAGCTTCCATCTTCTAGAGTAGTGCTATATCTCAGCGTCCAAAAGTCACGAGCTGCTGCTAATGTTGTAGGAGCATAAATCTGATAACCAACCATGAACAATGAGCAGTACAGTTTTAAAGATTATAAACAAGACTGATAAGTCTATGAAACAGACCTGAGTGTTGACAAGCTCGATAGTACCACCGTTTCCAGTGGGTATAACATTCAGAGTCTCGACAGATCGACAGTCACGGAACCATGATGGACGATCTTTAAGGATTTCAGCGACCTACACAGTATACGAAGTTTAGAGTGCCTTCACAGAATTTTCTCCTTTTTACAAAACAACATTAGAGTAAATACGAAACACCATTACCTTCATGGGTTCTAAACTCACGAGGCCACAGGCACGTGCTGCTATTCCACTGCAGTTGCGTGAAACAGCTACGATGCCAATAGAATCCGGACCAGGCTACATACATCACCAAGAAAATACAAATTAAAACATTTTGAAAAGTTACTTCACTTGAACGTTTAAAAACCTTGAAAATGTTCCAACTTATTTTACCTTCATCCCAATCATCTGGACCCAGTCGACAGCAGTTCCTCTAGCCTTGCAAAGGAACTCTGCCAAGGTCTCCTCCGCAATCGAGAGAAGACTACCAAAAGACAATTAAAAATTTATGTTAGTTTCTTCATATAATCTCACAAAGAGAAATTCACTAACAAAAAAAACAAGAGCCTTCCTTACTTAGCTGGGTTGTTAGCATCACGCTGTGGATGCTGATGTGTTGGGTTTTGCTGCTGACGTTGCTGACCACTCACGACCACAGACTCACAGCTGTTGTCTGTGGTCGTCCCAGAAGCCTAAGTCACAATAAAGAGACTTCACCAGTCACTTTCTAACAGTAGATAATTCTTAAAGAACAATCCCATTCACACGCATCAGAAGATAACAACAACTTTTAAACTAAGTCTCTAATGATATTGATTCAAATGTAGTTAAGCTTCATTTACATTACATTTAGCAATGGGGATCAAGAACTTACAGTGTGAATTCGATGTTTCATGAATCCATTCTCATAAACCAAGTGGGAGACTTGCTTCTGCAAACGGTCATTCTCTTCCATCAAAAGCTTGTTCATGGCACTCAGCTTCCTGTTCACTGTCTGAAGACGAGCTGACTCTTTCCTCTGCTTCTCTCGACATCTAAAAGTCAACAAACAACCAAAAGAAACATTTAAAAAGAAAGAAAAAAGGGGAGCTAAAGACAAAGTATAGTATGATAAATGTGTTGAAATAATAGAGAATGAACAGAAGAGAGTTAAAGAAACACACTTTTTGCTTTAGAATCATACCAGAATGACATAAAGAACAAAAGATAATGTAATTTCCAACATATTCTCCGCAGAAATTTTCTTTAAGAAAAAAATAAGAAGAGACGTTTTAAAGCTCATCAACGACAGTTTGATTAGCTGTCACTTTTCTTGTAATTTCTTTTTTAACTTTCGACTGTGTAGCAAAGCCTTAAGCTAAAAGAGAAAAAAAACAAAAAAAAAAAACTTCAATTATATTAGGCATAGATCTGAAATTTCAAAAGCTTTTAAAAACAGCCATTTAGATCAAAAACAAGAAAAATTAACAAAACATTGTCAGAGAAAACAACAGGCGTTTGTTTATATTATTGAAAGGAAACATTTTTTGTCTCCAAATACAAACAAAAAAAATTAAATTTTTAATTCCAGAAACAATCAAAGAACACAAAAACATTCCATAAAAGCAATGAATAAAGAAAAGAAACACGAATCTAATATAAATTAACCTGCGATTCTGGAACCAAACTTTGATCTGTCGAGGCTCGATGTTACAGAGAATGGGACATTCACGAATAAGCTGTTGTCTACGAAGAGAGCTAGGTTTAGGACACTCAGCATAAACTCTCTCAAGAGCTTCAACTTGCTCTGGCGTGTACCTAACGTACTTGCCGGAATCAAAACCTTTGTCAGGAGAGTCTCTATCGTCCATGGAGTGAGCCATCATAACTTCAAAAGAAAATCACAGAGAGAGAGAGAGAGAGAGAGGGGTTTACAAAATAAAAATCGAAACTTTGACGGAAATAGTAGAGACCCAGATGGAGAAAAATGTAAAAAAAAATGGGATAAGAGTTAGATTGGTAGGCTCTCTGAGTAGAGAGAGCCTCCTTTGAGATTGTTCATGAGATGGTAATGGTTGGGGAAAAGAGTTTGGGTTTTTCTCATTTGCAAAGGAGATGAAGAAAGAGGTAAAAAGGAGCAAAAGCGAGGCAGCTAAGTATAGAGACTAGAGGGGAGAGAAAAAGAAAGAGAGAGAGAGAGAGGAGAATACTGAAAAAGTAAAGTAAAGATCTCTTTGTGAGAGAGAGAGAGGACAAGGAAGAAAGAAACAAGAAGAAGCACTAAAATTGGTAAAATTATTATTTTATTTTGTAATTTTAAAGGTGAAATTTTGAGAGTAGTAGGTTGAATTCAATGTTTTGGTTAAAAGCTTAAAATGTTGAGGAAAAAAGTAAAAAAAAAAAAAAGAGATAAAGTTTTTTCTTATGCAAAAGCTTTTTTAAAAAATTATGATAGGAGAAAGCTTGAATTTTATACAAAATTTAAGTGGTTATAAAATGAACAGAAGATGCAAAAAAGAGTTTTCATTATAATTATTTTTGTATAAGATGGATGATTAGTTACTTCTTTAAATTGATTTCATATCACTATCACCTTAAATTATTTGTATTTTTGTCTTCAATATTCTTGATATAGATAAAAAGTTTAGATGTGGACAGACGAAAACATGATTGAAAGTAATTAGATTTGAAAAAACAAAAAAACTTAATTTGCATTCAGACTAAAGAAATTAGTAGAGTAGCATTTAGAGGCTAAACACAAATAGATGAGAAAAGCCAACACGCAAAGCTGTCTCTGCAATTTTTAAGACATTTTCAATAGAGTATTAATTATAAGAAACCCCCTAATAATAACACTACGTACTACTAAAAATCAAATAATAAAGAAAAATCTTTTTGTGTTTTTTTTCATTTTCTTTGGTCATCCGTAAAACGTAAGTGTTGTTGTCAGAAGAAACGGAATTTTGACGAAATGGGGTAAATATGCTAACTTGGGGAAATAAAGCAGTTGTCTTTAAGCTCTGCGACTCTGGCCTACCCACAAAAACCATAGCATCCAAATTTCTTCTCTCTATCCATCCTCTTGTTGTCCTAAGATGATGCTAATGGTGATGCATGTATGTGCATGTACATGTTATTACCATGATGTGTTGCTGTATTTTGTATGTATTGTCCATCTTTGATGATTCTTGTATCCATGCGGAAAAATGATGCATGGCAACAAGTATGTACAAATTAGGTGTCACTACGCGCGTGAGAAGCGTGAAGTATGTTTTGTTTTCTTCTTTTTTTTGTTAACGTTATTAACTTCCTTTGTTTAAACTTGTTTTGATGATTTTGGTTATATGAGAAAAC